AATCTTACAGATCGCTTGAGCGACCAAAGTAGCGCTCGAGCGAGGACACTTTTTACTTAGTTTTCCGCTCGAGCGGCCGTTGAGCGGAAAATTCACTCAACCAGTACTTTTGTAGACTGCTCAAGCGACGGAAGTTATGCTCGAGCGACCTCCCTTCTTTTTGAATCCCCACTCGAGCGAAGGGCCCTGTTTCAGAGATTTTGAAAAGACGTTTTATGTTTCGTTTTCTGTTCTTTTTCACTTCTAAGCACTCTTAGGCATGCATTGAGTACACTAAATGAATTAAAGAGCATGGAAGAAGCCTAAGAACATTAAGCAAATTAAAGAACGAAATGGATTGTATTATGACCCAATGTGTTATGAAATATGTAGGGTCAAGCGCAAGGACGAATCAAGCACTGGAACACTGTGAGTAATATCTTAGTAAAGATACTTTTATGTATACATTGTTTTCTAAATGTTACCTACGTAGTAAATTTCTGACTCTATGAATTTGTTCTATGAATGGGTATTCTATTCACTTGATTCGTAATAAAGTGTGTAAAGTAATTTATATATGAGTATGAAATGGACCTAAGGCCGTTTGGCATGTTTGGCGAGGACACAGATTGGGTCTAAGGCCGTTTGGTATATTTGATGAGGACACAAATTGGGCCCAAGGTCGTTTGGAATGCTTAACAAGATAGACTAAATGTCATCTTATACACAAATTGGACCAAAGGTCGTTTTTAATAAATAATTGATTGGACCAAAGGTTGTTTTGAATATGAGTATGGATGTGATCACGATCATATGCACATAATCATGAATATAAGAATGGTGGACCTAAGGCTGTTTAGTAAAATGACATAGAGGACCGGTGATCCCTGGTACATGGATCCATTAGACCTAAAGTTGGTCTATGAATGAGTATTGGACCCGAGATCGTTTTGTATAGGTGGACCTAAAGTCATTTTGTTTTATATTGAGTTGGACCCGAGGTCGTTGTGTATATGGCAATGATGTATTGGACCCGAGGTCATTTTGCTTTGTTGTGATCTACAAATTTGTATGTGAATGGAAACAGTAGTTCAAATGTTTAATTTATAAGTATGACTCATTGTGAATGAAACTCATTCATTAACCTCTTTACTATGGTATTATTCACTGGACGTTAGCTCACTCTGTATTTATATGTATGTAGGTGAGCAGCGGGATGTCCAACCCCAGCCGCAGTGAGCGTTGAGAAACCAAGTTTTGTGAGGTCAACCCAGGTCGCCTCATGCAGAGGCCTTCTTTTTGTTATACTTTTGTTTTTGTTTTCTTATGGTCGTGTATGACCAAAGTTGTGTATAACCTTAGAACTTGGTGTTGAAACTATAAAATGATCCTGGATGCACGTGGTACATACATAATGTAAATATTGCATGGTGTGAGTTGTTTCATATATATGAAAAAGTTTTTGATTAAACCATATATGCACAGCTCGTTGGACAATTCTTGTATGTGTTGCTTTCGCAGTTTGGCCCCCCTATTATTAAATATGGCTTGATTTCTGACTGAGGCCGTGAGTAATCTCATGATTACTGGCTGGTTATGACTCTAATACATAGGGGCGGGTTTGGGTCATGACAGGAGACTCGTTAGAATGTTCAACATCACTAGGAAGTTCATCGAAGTATCGCCGGAAGTTTGCCAAAACATCACCAGAGTGTTCTAAACATCACTGAAAGTCGCCGAAATGTCCAGAATGTTCACTGGACGTCAAGAAAATTGTCGGATATTTATCGGAATGTCCAGAATATTGTCGAAAAAAAAGAATAAATAGAGAAATTGTAGTGAAAAAAAATAACAAAATGTGCTAAATATTGATAAATTGAAAAATAAATAAATAACAACAACAATAGGAAAAATACATATTATTTTTTAATTTTTGTAGGATTTAAGCAAATAATCTCCAATATTGATCAAATTGAAAAATAAGTTTTGAAACTGTAAATTATTATAGTTTCAAAGCATGATTCAATTAAGCATTTATCTTTATTAATCAAATTGAAAAACATGTTATGAAATTGCAAAATTTTACAGTTCTAAAGAATGTTATGGAACTGCAAATTTTACAGTTTTAAAGCATGATTTATTTTAGCACCAAAAAAATTGAAATTGTAAAATTTGACAGTTTTCACCACCTATAACTAAAACTCGAAAAAAATTTGTTTAGAATTTGAAAATTTTCTCCATTAAAATAGGAAAATATATGTGTATAGTAGAGAAAAGGTAGAAAAATTGAGAGATCGAAAGAGAGAACCAGATATATAAAGAAGATTGTACTCCAGCAACTATTTTTGGTTTAGATTTAGTCTGTTCTCATGCAGATCTACTCAGATATGATGTAGATCTAAGTAGATCTACATAAGATTTAAGTAGATCTGCTCCGGTAATACGTTCTCCAGGCCTTCCTGCTTATCTGGAAACTCTCGCAAAGTCTCATCCCACTTGGATAGCGAAGTAAGCAATCAAAGGGCTGACATTAGCGAACACTCATAGCGTTCTTGCTTTCTCGATATCAGTAATTAAGGATCTCTCCTCCTTCTGGTAGGTGCAAGCAATAAAAGGAATATCATTCCAATCAGTAAAGGAAGAGTTCTTCCCTTAATGATATATCGAAATATCTACTTTTTCATTCAAGGTTATGGAAGTTTAGTAAAGTCTTCTGTCAAGGTAGCATTTGCCTTCCCGGGAATCCATCCCTTTTGGAATCGGGTAAGGCTCCACTATTAACTGGCAAGGGTCCAGGTCCAATAGCGCTTCCTGTCTTTTCAAAAATCTCCCCCGTAGCAGCAGCGGCACTCGAGTTATTAGTGCCAGGTGCAATAAGTACGCCATTTCCAAGCCTCCTTGTGAAGCGTGCGTCATCTCTTGTCTGAATTGAAGGCATCCCCATTACTACCTAAGGCCTCTCCGACTTTGGTTTACGTCTGATTCCATTCTCCCTTGCTTGAGCTTTCTTCTTTCCTCCGCTTTGGTCTACTTCCCTCTTTCCATCCTGTGTCATTTTTGCCCATCTTCCATCTCTTCCTGGTTCATTCACAAGAGGAGAACCAGCCTTCTTTAGTAAAAGCCTTTTCTTGTCTTGCTTGATGCTTTCCTATCTCGAGTTCCCCACCTATGAGATCGCTTGCACCAGCTTTGGATTAAACAAGATCGGCCATAGAATCGAAGAAAGGAATGGGGACATAGCGAGAGACTCTCGATTCGTTGCTCTACATTTTGAGAAAGTGGAATAATAAAGGCCGTAGTACCGTACGCCCGCAACAATAACAACAAAGAGGCCGATTTGAGAACGTTTGGAGAGGCTCACGGGGCTAGACCCATCTACCACAAAAAAAACTCCAATATTTGACCCTTACATCAAAATAAATGCTAAACTTTTAATTTTGTCAATTTAAATCCTAAATTTTTGATTTAATCTAAACATTTACCAATTTTTATTAAGTAAAATCAACAAAAAAATGATATTTTAGTCGCTAAATTCAATAAAAATGATATTTTATATATATAATTATATTGAGTTTAATAAGTAAAATAATTTTTTTTCATTAATTTTACTTAACAAATCAAAATATTAGAATTAAATTAAAAAAATTAAAAATTTGTGATTTATTTTGTTAAAATGCTGAAACCTTAGTTTTTTTTTTTCGTTACTGTTTTTTTTTTTTCCTTTCATTTTAATAGTCCATTTTGAAAAATTCTAACTTTTTTAGCAGATATATAATCATTACATTTAAATTTAAATTTTAATACACTTAATAATACCTTTCTACATTATAATTTTAGAAATTTAAATATTTATATTTTGATTTTTCAAATAGAACTAATATTTTGAAACATCTTAAAATGAAAAAAATGATATATGAAAATGTTACAATATCAAAGTATACCCACTTTTTTTTATTATAAAAAAAAGGCGAAGATGCGTGGCTGCTTTTAGCTAAATTCGCACATGCAGCGAAAATAAACGTTTTGACAAAGATTGCTGCTATTAACACCTCCCTTTTTCCTTTGACCCCACCTCTTCCATTTCTTTTTATTTCTAATTTTATTCCAACATAAGATTCCACTTTTACCCTTATCTTCTAACCCTAATTTTTCAAACCCTAACCCTAACCCCTCTCAACTCCGGCTACCACCTTCACCGGTCACCGGCCAGCCCGTCACTGCTAGTCACCACCTTTGTCTCCCTCTTATTCTTCTTCTAAAATTGCGATCTCCACTGCCATTGCAATCTCTCCCCCCCTCTTTCTCTCTCTCTCTCTCTCTGTGCGCATGGTTGGGTCGATAGGGTTTGAAGGTGAGATGGTGAGGAAACGACGATTTGTGACCTCAAACCCTAGCCACCTCCATCGCCGTCGCGATCTGAGATCTCAATCCTAGCCGCCGTCGTGATCTGTGACCTCAAACCCTAGCTGCCGTCGCGATCGGTGGCCTCAAACCATAGTCGTCTTCATTGCCGTCGCGATTTGAGTTGGGATGAGCAGCGACCGACGATGGTGGCTAGGCGATGGTGGTGAGCAAGAGAGAGAGGGAGGGGCTCGCGGCGGCGGCTCTGGATTGAGGTTGTCTGAAGCTTCTAGGGGTGATCGACTGTGGGGGTCGCGATGAAGTTGACTGAAAAGTGGCTCTGGATTGGAGTTGACCGGAGAGTGGCACCGGCTGTGGAGGTTGTGGCCGGAGCTAGCAATGGTTAGGTTGAGAAGGTAGGCTAGAGTGAGGGTATAGTTGAAATTAAAGTGAGGGTTCAAAAAAAAATAGAGAGGTCTCATTTAGTTGGGTGAGAGTTCAAAAAAGTGGGGTTCAAGGAAGAAAGGAAGGTGTTAATAGCAGCACTCTTTCACACAAAAATCCTAGAGAAAGGGTTTTGGATTTCCATCAATGTCGAAACGTTGAAATAGTTTTCTTCTGCGATCACTGAAGAAGAAATCGAAATTTAGAGAGAGAAAGAGAGAGAGAGAGAGAGAGAGATGGAGAAGTCTGTGGTGACCTTTGACAAAGGCACGACCTGCTCTTCATGGAACTACTGTGGCGAGAGATTGGCTACTGGTTCAATCGATGGAACTTTGGCCATTTTCGACTCAGTCGACCCGGCTTCTTCGTCATTCACTTGCACTTCTACATCCAGGGTTCGTATTTCGTAAGCTTCGTTCTTTGTTAAAACTTTCAATTTTTGTGTGTATATATATGGGTTTTGATTGGATAATAATCTGCAATCCTTTTAGTCTGAATTGAATTCGAAGTTTGAATAATTGGATTCCATAGGGTTTTTATATGGCATTTCTAATTTGGGAATGGGTAATAATGGTGATGATGCTGAGGATTGTTTATAAACAAAGGCGATAAAGATCAGATAGGGAAGAGCATGTTGTCATTTATTGCATTATACACTGTTAAATTATTTTACATGAACTCTATGGCGGACCCAGAAATTGTGCAAAGGGGGGGTTAAAACAAAATTATCTATATTTTAGAGAAATTGAAGTAAAATTATATAGATTTCGGAGACCAAGATACTAATTTATTTTATATATACTCAAAATTACATGAAAGTGATGAGATTTTTCAAAGGCTTGGGGTGGCCAAAACACTAATTCATTTTTATAATTTCTGAAATTTGCATAAAAATAATGAAAATTTTCAAAATTTTGGGCAGCAAAGATAAAATTATTTAGATTTTGGAGGGGCTGGAGTAAAATTATATTAAATTTTGAAGGGGCCAAAACGCAAAACTCTTTTATAAATATTCCAAATT